CATGCGTTCGAGCGGGTCCTTACTGATATGCTTGGACCCACGTGTAGTAGTCTTCTTCACCCTGCAAAAAAAATGAAGCGCATGAAAAAGGTATTTAAAAATGAAACAAAATTATGTTTGCCTTGGTAGAAATCTTAAGAAAATGGAAAAACAGGTGGAAAAGCTGGCAGTTGCCATGTAAGGGGAACGTCAGTTGCCATGTCTCATAACTAGCAGTTGCCATCCAGCAGCAGTTGCCATGTTAGCAACCTTGAAAGAATGATAAAAATGTCTGATCTGCCATGAATGCAATTTCAAACCTAGGCGTGGGATGAGCTCACAAGACAACGGTAAAAAGATGGCAGTTGCCATAAGGTACATTAAAGTTACCATTTGGCCTACATTCCACTTGCCATGTGAAAAACAAAAATAGAAGTTGCCACACGTTTAGAAAGTAAATAAAATATCATTTGGTAAAACAGCGGTTGCCACGTGGGGGGGGGGGGCGATGACAGAAGACAATGTGACAAGCTAAACAAATGCATTGGAAAATCAAAAAATATAGCGCTATGTCAATGAAAGCGGATGAAGAAACCTACTTCCTGACTGCCTTCCTCAGGTCTGGCAACACGACAGGATCCCCGGTGTTGGTTGTCGTCGTGCGAGGAGATGTCCTGGTGGAAGTGGTATCACCGGCAATGGGGGCACCTTTGTTCAACCGAGCAGAAACACGGGTTGGCGTTGGCGCCTGTTTCTTCGTAATTGCTCATCCACCAGCTATCGGCTCGCTGCACATATGAGATGGAGGTCAAAAAAAAGAGGTGGCAATTGTCAGACAACAATCTCGTTGCCGCGTTTGAAAGAACACAAGTGCAAAAAAGAGGATGAGTCTGTTCGAAGAAAATAGACAAAGCAAAAAGCTAAGATGAAAGTCGAACCTCTTCCTGGCAGCTACAGGGTCGGTCCTAGACCTCTTGCCAGCAGAAACTTGCCCAGCACCCTCTGGAGCCATCCCCCTCTTTGATGGCAAAACCCCTTCGCCTCTCATAGCCATGCGTTGTTTGACTTTATCCAGTTGGGGGACATCTGTTGCATCCTTGCCCTTGTTACCACCCGCGCGAACTTCAGCGTGTTCATCATCATCGGTGTCCTCTTGCACATTATCCATGACATCATCGTCATCCTTGCTAAGACCAGCGTCTCCACCTAGTTCATCTTGTGTGTCAGCGGGCTCCTGGGAACTGTTGTAGTCATACCGGCCACGGCAACCGGTTGGCCGGTGTGTATGTTCTGGGACGAATGAAGTGAATTGCCTCGCAACCGCGTTGCCTTCAGAGCCACTGAGGGACGTCCACCCCTCAACCAACTTCCCGAGCAAGCCAGTCATTCGAGATGCAAACTGCCCTATTAGCTGCTCAACAGGTGCCCTCGCCTGTACACAAAACAAAGAGGCATCAATGACAACCCCGTATTGCAATCACTTGCACGACATCGAAAAATACTCCACGGCAAACCATATATGTAGATCTTTTGATTACCTCTGAAGGACAAGACGGAGCTGAGTGCACGTCCATCCACTTTTCAAAGTTTTGAGGCCCCCCAAACACGCTGTAGTCTATAGAATGCTTGGCCATCAGCTGGGGAGAAAGAAAAAAAAGTAGCAAATGATATAAGAGAGAGAATGATGAACACTGACTAGCAGTTCATGTGTTGCAAAAAAAAGCAGAACTAACCTGCAGTTTACCATATTTGCTATCAGTTACCCTGTCTGCAGCAAGCACAGCCTTGACAGCATCGATAGTCCACGCAGAAACAGCAAACTTGTGCGCAGGCGGCGGGCCTCCTGTCCCAGTGAAGTCCACGGTGGACAGATCAAGGCAGTCGACATACATGAGCTGATGTACAACAATTTTAAAAAGAAAGAAAAATCAGTTGCGGTCATGGTATTTTGCAACAAATAACAGGATAAAATATATGGTATTTTACAAAGAATATGCCATCTGCATGTGCTAGTTGCCATCATAGAGTGATGGCAGTTGCCATCATAGTATGATGGCAGTTGCCATGTTGTCATGTTGGCAGTTGCCATCACAGTATGATGGCAGTTGCCATATAGTCATGATGGCAGTTGCCACATAATCAACATGGCAGTTGCCATCTTGTTATGATCATGTTGACATGCATGAATAAAGATGTGTTAAAAATAGTGTTCACATAAAGGACCGGTAAAAAAATACCATTAAATGCAGTCGACAACCCTTCTGGTACACCTTGCTTGCAAATGCATCATGCAGGAAGTCGGCAATGAACTTACACCAGTTCATGTTCTTCACATCTTTCAGTTTTGCCTGCACCGCATAAAATTCAGGACAAGGAGTTGCCGCGTCAGAATTCCAATGGAAAAAACAACAAAAAAAATTGTCAGTGACTAGCTTGCACATGACATCGGAGCAAAAAAATTGAAGGAAAAATAATGTAGTAAAGATAGATCATTCACCAGGATGGGGAAGCATTTGTTGCTTGGGCGAAGAGAAGTGGTCGGCGTGAAAATGGCTGAGATGAGGTACATGAGTAGCTTCATCTTGAAAACATCTCCGTGCGTCGTCATGGCCTCCAACGAATCTGCCACTGCAGTCGTGTTCGGCATGGATTCCAACCCAGGAAACAAACGGGGGAACAGCGCTTCCTCGATCTCGTTGTTGACCTCGTACGGGACTTTGATATGTCCACGGGGCACACCCAACATGCAGAACACGGATTCCTCATTCAGCGGTAGTCTTCCGCGTCCCAGAATCACGAATTCTCTGGAGGCGGGGTCGTAGATCTCACCAAGCCAATCGCATACAGGGTTGACAAGGTTCGTGCACCGGACAGCCATCATAGACTGCATACCCATCTCAGCAGCAACCCCCTTCTGATCGTCGCTGAATTTGTCAGTCAACACAGTCAGTCGTTCTTGGGAGGCTCTGTTACGAATACGTTTCTTCTTCTGCAAAAAACAGACATAAAGTGATCAGTTGTTGCCATGTTTTTGCAAAAAAGAGATCAGTTGTTGCCGCGTTTTGCAATGTAAAGAAATTTTAGTTCGTGTCAGACGACTGCAAGCTCAAGGTGTCAACCATTAACATACAACAGGAGGAAGGGGGGATGTATGAACATTTACCTCATCACCCTCTTTTCTTCGCCCAGTTGCCCGATTACGCTGTGGTGGATCCATGAAATCATCATCGTCGTTTTGACGATCACCATGAGCCATTCTGCTGAGATGGGAACAGACCAAATTGTCATGGTGGAAATGTAAATGCAAAGAGGTCAGCAAAAACTTGCCACATGCAAAGCATATGTATGGCATCTGATACATTTGATATGCAAAGTCGGTTGCCACATTATGCAACCAATTTGCCACATTGTCTTATATGCAGAATGGCAACAGACAGTGTGTTCACACTCTATTTGCCACATGAATATACTATCCAGGTGGCAACAGGCACACTTTATGTGCACAGTGGTTGCCATCCAGTGCAGTTGGCTCGTGAATGTACATTGACTACCGATTGTGGCAACTATCACAGTGTGGTTACTATCACATATCATTCGGAAAAACACTGGCCGCAATGAAAATAGCATGATTGTGGCACCTAACACAGGAATTCAGCAAATCTTAGTTGCCACACGGAGAAAGAGCGTGTGCGTGGCAACTATCACATTACTTCAGCAAAATTATTTGCCACATGGAAGAGCGTGTGTGTGGCAACTATCACAGTCATTGAATTAAAAATAGTTGCCATGTGAGAAAGCTTACATGTGGCAACTAACACAATCATTTCAGTAATTTGTTGCCGCAAGGGGAAACACGTTTGTGGCAACTATCAAATTTGTTCAGGGAGTTAGTGGTCGCACAAACATGATAGTTAATGTAACTATCAAGTTCGCCTCATACTGCATTTTCAAAACCAAACTAACTAGATCTAGGGTTCAATGGCAACTACCTCGACTTCAAATTCACCCTCAAAATTCTCCCACGAACTGACTGCAAACACAAAATCGAACCAACGCACATCAAAAACAACCCCGGGAGATACCTGCTCAATCCATAGGCAATACTAGTGCGTGCCTCCGAACAGGCAGAACCACGCCGACAATGCCGCCGCCGCGCCCGCGACGAAACTGACCAGTGCAACCAAAAGCGGCTAGCAGACGACTTCGGCGCCGGCAGGAACGCCGACGCATCGACGAATCGCCTGAATTTCTACGAATCTCGATCGAGGAATCGAACAGGGAGGGAAGGGGAGGAAATGCAGGAAGGGATTGCGAGGGTTGCAGCGAGCAGTACCTTCAACCCGCAGGCGCTCCGGCGAGCCGCTCCGTTCCGGCGAGCACCACCGACGGTCCCGAACACCGTCGATTCTTCCGCCTCCGCCGTCGCCTTCTCCCCTCGCCTTCTCCTTCGATGGTTTGAAATGCGAGTGGGTTCTGCCGGTAACTGCGGTGCGGGTGAGTAAATGGAAGCGTGAGGGAGAGGGGGCAGAGGCGTGCGACGTCAACCGCAGTCGAAGCGTGGCGTGCGGGCGCATTGCAGTTCCACCGCACGACTCAGATGGCAACCGCTAACCGCGGGGTGGCAACCAACGTGCGGGCGAACCTACTCGCACACCGCACACACGCCTCATCCTACGTGGCACAAAAAACCACCTGGTTTGTTCCAAAATTCGTGCACACACCTGCCAACCGTGATGCTTGCGTGTGGTCGGGGTGGTGAACGCCCACACGTGTGGGCGTTAACATTTCCGAAAATATATCAATATAAACTTCAGATGTTCTATTTTCAAACCGTATAATTTTTGTGTTATATAGTTTATATTAAGATGATAAAATTGACAACCTAGGTATACGCGTAGGACTTGTAAACCGAAAAGGAGGTAGTATTCTTTTTTCTTCAAAGATAGAGACCAGTCTGAGCTACACCCATGAGTCGATGACGCGATCGTTTCTCACGTCCACAAACTCCTCACAAGATTTAATTACCCACAATCAGGATGCAAATGCCGGCGGTGAGCTATATCCGAGAACGCCATCCCAGCAGGACGCCGACGGGCGTACCGCGCGGAGAAGGACCGCGGGAGGTTCTCGGGCTCCCCAGCCGCGTCGCCCTCGTCGAAGTTTTGCTCGTAATCCTCCTGCGCGTACCGCTCCTTCACGGAGGAACCCCTCCGGCTCATCACCTTCGTGACGATCCGCATCCACAGCGCTCGCGCGAACCCCATGCCGCCGCCTGGCAAGGCAGCAGGGCCCAACTCCGCCTCCTCGCCGTTGCGGTGCCCAACCTTCCCAATCCCGCCCAGACGCGCGCTCCTGATCTTTCTTCGCGCCTGGCCACCGTGGCCGCCGCGCGGCAAGAAGGCGGACACAACAGGTGCCGGAGAGGAGCGCTGCCTCCAGAGCCTGTCTGCCGCGGGAGGGGTGTAGCAGCCGGAGGCGCCGTGTCGCCCCGAGGTTTCCATCGGCAATAATAGCACGGCGGCGGCGCGCTGAAGGAAGGACGCCGGGGGCTGAGGAGGAGACGAGAAGCCCCTCGATACGGCTCGTGATTATATAGCACGTTGGTTCGACGGGCTTCGGGATGGCGACGGATCAAGCGCGGGCCGCGGGGTGCACCACTGCGGCACGGAGGTACTACTGCGTGGTGGTGGCGCTGGAGGTAGTTGGCGGCTTGGTGCCGCTAGCTGGCCGCGTCGACCTGTATTGTCCATTGTGTGCGCGCGCGCGTTCAACTCCAGAGATGCCATTCTGATGTTCTTTCTGTTCCTGCGCGGAAAAATCAACGTTTGATTATTCCGGGAGTTGTCAAGCTTGGATGATGTAGAGTCATAGACACGCGGTCATGTCAGCCGTCGGCAAATGAAAGCCACGCTTCTGACCTTGAAGTGTCACATTTGCTCTCAACAGAGAGACGAGGGAAAATAATAGATGGGTTCCTCATCAGAAAGAGAGAGAGAAATGCTAGACTTACGGAGGATTTTTTACAGAGTTTAACCCCTCTCCCCTCAGGCTAGTCATAATAAGAGTAACTTAGCAAGTAACTTACGGACTTACCTTAATCTCTCCTCCTGATTTTTAGGGTGGGCCTCGCTTCATCCTTAACCAATCATAACAGCCCATCTCAGCTTAGGCCGTAAACGTCCTGTAAAACTCCCCGTAGTTCTAGCATTAAGAGAGAGAGAGAGGGGGCGCGCAACGTGTGAGTCGCTCTCTTGACATAGTGCATATAAATTTTCTAAAGAGTTAATCCTCTTAAACTTTGATCAAGTTTGTGGAAAAATATTTACATCTAAAATACCAAACATATATTATTAAATTCATCATAAGGTATAGTTTCATATTTTATATAATTGATATTGTATATATAAAAGTCTGTTTGGGACTGCTCCGCTCCATCAAAATCAGTTTCAATTCACAAAATTCACTTTAAAGCAGTTTCACATAGGATTTCCGGGAAGGTCTGGTTGCTGCTTCTTCTTGCGGATTGTACGGACATAGTCTGAAGTATGATTATCATGATGATTTGAAGAATTTGGCAAGTCCGTTGAGATATTACTCATGGGAAAGATGTCGCGCCGGTCGCGACATAAGCTCTCTTCCTCATCGGCTATATGATTTTGGTGCAATCGGCCAAAAAGTACTCTACAGAACAGATGCTAAAAGGTAAAATGGTGATCATGGACTATGGAGAGGGTCCTACGCAGTCCGCCGGCCCGAGTGCTTCCATGGCCTGCACCCACTAGGGGTGCAACGACACTCTCAGTCGATGGTTCATTCCGGGAGGAAGATGGAACGACGGCAGCCGGGATGCTTCTATGAAGGCACGATGGCTCGGTTTTCTTCCGGTGTACCGCTACCTGTTTAACTGCAATGATACTCTTGAGGCGGAGATCCACACTTTGATGATCGGTATGGTGCTTGCTCGACAACATATGGAGCTTCCGGTCATGGTGCAGTCTGATTCATCGACTGCTTTTATCTTGTCTTTCTGACTCTAGCTTAGATCGTTCGGCTTTTGGTCATTTAGTAGCTTAGATCAAGTCTTTAATGATTGGTAGAGTGTTTATTCCATAGAAATTACATAGGTCCCAGAATGGTGTTGCAGATTGCGTGACAAGATATAGGGGCTGTTTGGTTTCTAGCCACATCTTGCCACACTTTACCACACCTTACCTTAGGCAAATTTGACCAAATTAGGTGGGTGTTTAATTCTAGCCACACTTAAGGCAAGATTTTTTTATGAGAAGTGAACCCCGCATGTCATAGACACAAAAAGTATGTCAATATTTCCTTAGGCAAGCCAAAGTGTGGCTAACAATTTGAGCAACTCAAATTAGTCAAGTGTGGCAAGTGTGGCAAAAAGTAATGTGGCAATGTACGGCAAACATAGTCACAATCCAAACAGCCATAGTCGCTCTGAGCGAGTCACAAGTCTCCCATGTAATGAGGAACTCTTGCGAGATGTTGGTGGAGCACCTGTTCAGGAGAAAAGGACACACGACGAAGATTGCAGCTCTTATTGCCATCGATAATCGTTGCTTGCGAGGAGGGGGAGGACCGGAGGACGTCACCGGCGGGCCCTGGCATAGCATCGGGTGTTGTAGGAGGACGTAGGTGAGGTAGGAATCCTGAAAGCTGAAAATGAACTCTTGGTTGAAACTGTGTTTTTGCTGGAGGTAATAGCACCCCAGGTCCCTGAACTTGCATGTCAGGTGATGGTTTAGTCCTTGTAGTTGAAAAAGCCAATTATTTCATCCCTGAACTTGCAATGGATGTGAAAATTTAGTCCTAGACCAATCACAACTCGCCAACTGGATGCCAAGTGGTCTGGCTGGTCAGCGTGCGGCTTTTTACACTTAGCCCCCTGCCTTCTTGCCTTTTCAACCCGCAGTGCAACACCAAGTGCCAGCTGTGTTGGTATATTCGTTGGAATATTATATCCTGTCGGCAGCTCACCCTCACTCATCTCTCTGCTCCCTCGCTTCCTTCCCCTGCTCCAGCTCCTCGCCGGCGCCGCCAGCTCGCCGCCATGGTATCTTGGAGTGAAGGATTCAGCTCCTCGTCCGACGGCTACTCTGTCACAAGTGAGGTCAGTTCGTCACTATGCCTCTGCGAGTTAGGGTTAGGGCAAGAATGGGGAATTTTGCTGACTATATTTTGTTGTAGGCTCCTACTCCTGCCACCATTTTCTGCTCTGAGTAGACAGGACTTGCTCCAGATCTTGCAGCTAGATGTGAACACCAGTGTCGGAGTAAATGACCACGGGTAGCCTAGCCGGCTCCCCCTGGCCTTTCTGAAAAAATTACGTGCCGATCCGGCCCTCAAGAATCCAAGACATTGGGCCACCTTCCCCTGGCCGGCTGTCTCCCAGGCCGACTATCGGAAGGCGGCCCGACTTTAGTCTTCGTGAAGAAAGCCGCAGGAGGGCCGGCTTCGAGGAGCCGGCTGCGAGAAGGCCGACTCCAAGAAGCCGACTCCCATAAAGCGGTCGAGATCGTACCCTCGAAGTCTGCACCCACATAACGACGACGTGACAAGGCGTGGCTACAGTAAAGCCTGCCACCCCCGAATCCCGGAGCACGCCTGGCACAATGCGCCTTACGGGTGGCCATGACCCGTCCGGCGCGGCACTGTTGCAAGGACGACCCTGATATCATCCACGACGGGCTGCCAGAGTGGCCCGCGGGCGGTGGGCCCCTTCGGGCAGAGAGACGCCTGAAGGCGGCCTGGCCTCCCCCAGTCGGCCCAAGATGGAGCCGGCTCCCTCCAGCCGGCTTGCCGTGCCCTCAAAGGAGACGCCCCATTAAGGAGATAAGACGCGGCGAGGCTACAACGATCACCCGCCGGATGACGGCACTGTAGCCATGCTTACCTCGGCGAAGCCCTCGTCATCAAGATTGAGCAACAGTAACCAGCCACCGACAAGGCCCTGGGCAGTGGGGCCTGCCCATCGACCAAGGAGCCGGCAGCCGGCGGGACCCACCAGTCGGCGGGCCCCAGCAGTCGACGCGGAAGCCGGCGAGTATAGACACAGACGGCTGGGCCCCACGCCCAGCCGGATTACCATTGTACCCCCGGGGGGTAGGCCTATATAAACCCCCCGGGACGCCCATGCAAAGGGTGGATCCCTGCTAGTTTTAAACACCACATAGGGAGGAGAAGAGAGCGGGTAGAGCCCTTCTTCCTCCTCTCGCCAAACAGCTCAAGGAGCATCGTGTAGCTACTTGTTCATCTAGTGATCATGCGGAGACCCCCCCCCCCCAGAGCAGCCGTAGGGGTGTTATCTCCACGGAGAGCCCCGAAGTTGGGTAAGATTCGCCGGCGTGCATGTCTTCGCCTCATCCCGCTTCCAGGCACCGGCGACGTTTTACTGGCTCCCACAATGATAAGCCACCCGTTGGCATATGTCGCACCTACCACCCGACATTTGGCGCCCACCGTGGGGCCAGGTGCACCGTCGTCCGGAGACCTGTTCTGGACGGGAACCCTCTTCCTCCCCCGCGAGCGTAGCCAGCCCGGCACGCCCGATGGCGCTTGCCACGACGCGCTGCAAGGCGTCACCAACGCCTGCGCAGCGAGCAGCCTCGCTGATCTCCTCAACAAGACCCTCATCTCCGACGAGCTCGCCTCCGACGCGGGCACCGACCACCTCGCCAACCTCCTCGGCCAGCTCCATGTCTCTGGTGAGCCTGCTGTGGACTTGGAGTCGGTTGCCTCCACCGATCCGATGCCCGTCGACGCCGACACGGCCTCATTCGACACCTTCCCCACCGACGTCACGATCTACAACGACCCGCTTCCCCGGGCCGATGGCTGCGACGCTGTCACCACCGAGGTGATGGTCATCGGCCACGGCGGCACCGCTGACGAGAGCGCCCATGACGCCCCGCACGAGGCGGTCCACGACTTGTCCATCCCCCTCCCGGCCGACGCCGACGCTGAAGCACTGGAAGCTCGCCGCCTAGCCCTCCTCGCGGAGGGCCGGAAGTTGGTTTCCATGAGATGCCTCGTTGAGGCCTACCAACGCGAAGCCGACCGCGCCGCCTTTGGCACGCCGCCCCCAAGCGGGCCCAGCCGGGCCGGCATTGTCAGACAGCGCGGTGCTGTCGTTGCCGACACGTTAGGAGTCGACCGCCCAGTCTACGCCACCCCACTCGAGAACCTGCGTGCCGCCCAGGCGGCTGTAGACGAGCTATACGGACTGGGGGCCGAAGAACTCCCCCACATGACCCGATGCATCCAGCAGCTAATCGATGCAGCCGCGCAGCGGCACGAAGCCGGCGCCCGCGCGGAAAGCCCTCCCCCGCGCCGAGATCACGGCGTGACATCCCGGACGCCGACTACGGGTAGAGACCGCGCACGGCGCGAGAAAGAGTCGGCTGCCAGCCGAAGCCAAACTCGAATCTCCATCGAGCGAGACGCTGAAGGCCACCCTCGGGCCGTGGAGTGGCAGGGCAACCCG